AATTATATAAATATATAATTTATTTAATATTTCGAAAATATATGAATTACAACACAACAAATATAATACAAATTAATTTAATTTTTCAAATTAGTTGTAAAAACGAGTGCTAATTATGATTATATATCGAAAAACCAGTTTTTAATGAACTAATTATATGAACATTTCATGTATAAAACACAACATCAACTCAAATGTAATGTTAAATCGGTATATAATTAGCTCTCCTTATAAACAAACAAACGTTTAATGAATTAAAAAATTAAATTTTATTTATTAATTATAAACAAACATATGATCCTTATATTCAGGTTTCGATGCAATCATTAGTTTTGCATTAGTTTTGCATTAATACTGAATTTTATTTGTTAACTCATTTCACTGACAATTACTGATCACTCAATCAGTGATCACCACATTATACCCATTAGACCGTCAATTGTGGCCACAAAGTGGTTCGCCATTCATTCACATTCTTCTCATTCATCTGATCCACAAGTGGTGCGGTCTTCAGCCGATGATAGCGATTCCAAAGTGATGGCAACGGATCCGTCTTTATAGATATTCACTTTCATTAGAGCCCCGAACACACCATTCGTCCACTCATTCATAGAAAATAAATATAATTTACTAATTATTTAAACAAATGGTTTACAAAAGTTGTTTTTTGGGATCAAATCCAGTGATAAATATAATAATATATTTGTTTAAATTTAGCGCTCAATCCGTGACTCAAAACACGTGTTGTTTTGCATTACTATAGAAACGAACGAAACATTTATTTTGATTTTTAAAATAATTTCAATTAAATTGAAAGACAATAACTTTCAATGTCTTCGCTATTGTCACCCCATTTGGTCCAATACATTGTGGTGAGGGGTGACCTGCAGTGGCCCGTCGGCGCTCTCATAGGTATACAACACAAACTCATTATACCATTGATTAAACGTATGGTTGATGTCGTGTCAGGCAATGCATGTCACGCATCGGTGGCCGCTATTGTCCAACACATGTCTTCGGGAGACAAACACACCATTGAATACATCCAACACTTGGAGTCAATGACTAAAGTGGTGCTCAAAGCGGACAACGAAGAGGTGTTGCGAGACGTTTGCCATAAGTTATCCCAAAATAGCATTGCATACCATCTCTGGACAGAACAGCCCGAAGGCATCATCACATGTGTGGCCACAACTCCGCGACCGCGGGATGTCTTGAAACCACTTCTCAATCATTTGAAACTTTTTAAATGAATATTTTTGATATTTGTATTTAATTTTTATTTAATAATAAAATTAATTTAATTCTCGTTTGAATGACATATCGGACTCTCGAAGACATTGATTGTTCGCATATAACGGAACCCATAATTGCATAAAGTATTGCATTCTTATTATTAAAGGCATTATTGGAAAGGATTACTTCATATTAATATAAATTTCATAGATTAACGGTTTAGAAGAGATTATAATACATAATAAGTTATTATTAATAACCATTAATACTGAATTGAGCTTAATTTAAATTTTCCTAAACTCTTACCATATGTACAAATTTCACACCATTTTTACAACACATGGCAGCAGTTGTCCACAAATGCATCCAATTTAACAATAATGTCAGAGGTTTAGAAAATTTTATACTAAACTTGTGAAGTACGTGTCACAAAATTTTCCATGAACTTAAGGTGTCTCTAAAAAGCATTTATTTTTAGTATGAAATAAAACTCTTTTTGCTATACAGTCAGAGGTTAGGAAATTTTGTACCGAATTGTGAATTACGTGTCATAAAATTTTCCGTGAACTTGATGTGTCTCTAAAAACTAAACGTGATGATAGAATCACCAAGCTAATTTTAAAACGACTGTACAATCCACGATAATAGACACAATATTATAAAATGTACTCCTAGGTGTCAATTGAAAGCAGTGTTGGGTATTAGTATTAAATGCATTTTATTTTCATATTTAATTTTAACACATGTTTTAATTAATGGAATATTATATAAATTCAATACAAATTATATGTAATTTATTGGAAAATATATCAATTTTAAAATTTACTGAAAAAATTATACACAAAAGGATTCTCTGCTTTTGGTTTGCAATGAATGCCACAAAACAGAGACTCATCTGAAAAGTGATATTTAATTTACAAATCAATTGTTTATTCATTTTGTATTCAATTTATTTTCAATTTTCATTCATTTATATATTTTTCTGATAATTATTATTCACATTAAAAAACATTTCCATTTCGTATAATTAGCAGAAAATAAGACTTCTCTTCAAAAGTCTTATCAAAAATCCATTAAAATTAGTGGCGAAGAAATGAGTGCTAATTATGACATAATAATGCTTTTTAAACAAACAAATTGAGTGTTCACTCAATCAATCAATCAATAGTTAGCTATAATATGAAAATTATTTATTAATAATTAAATATATTTAAATATAGAAGTAATAATTTGGCTCTTAATTGGTGTCAAGGATTAGCTAATAGTGGGATAAAAAACAAAGAAAAAACTAGATTTCATGCGAAGGAAACAAATACTTATATCGTTGAGCCGTAATCCAAGACAACAACTCAATTGGTTTCCGAATTAAATGTTTTTAAAATAGTTCTTAGAGTTTGTGAAACGTTCCGGATTTTGGATCCGAGCGTTGATGTAGTCATCGTCGGTAACGATGCGGTCGCCGACACAACTGCGAACCAAATCGTCAAAACTTTGGTTAAGCGCTGCGTTGGCCGACATTTCGGAAACAATTTGTTCGCCAGTTGTGGGCACTCGTGGCTGAACGCCGGCCGTCGACAACGCCGTGAGCAGTGAGTCCCGCAAATTGATCGGTCGCTTCTCAATGCGACGCCGTTTCGACATACCGTTCATATAGGCGTCGCTCACCGGCCGTTGCGCTGGGAGTCGGCGCTGGCGCTCAATATCATGGGTTATGATCGGAACCTAAAACCATAATCAATAAGTCAATTGGATATTCGTGTGACCAAAAAAAATAACGGCAATTATTACCCAATCATTGGGAACACTTGAGTGCCAGTCCTCCGAACCGATCACAACGGATGGCAATTCATTATAAGTGGTGTCTATTTGGTGGACATTATTGTTAGGATGAATGGTGTCCTCAAACTCGCTGCGAGCGTCAGAGAACTCTACGTTCTCGGCATCGGATGTGGTGTTCGAGGCGTTCATGTGTTCTTCGGAGGCGATCGCCTCATCACTGGATTGAGTATCAATTCTAACGATATATGATTCGGTGTTAGGACTCTGTTCTGTATTATTATTATTGATATATTCGTTGAGATGTCTGACGGCCACAGAACTCATCCATCCCTGAATCTCTGGATTCAATTCGGATGACATGTGTTCCTAAAGTTCGACAAGAATTACAAAATATAAATAAAACACAACAAAACAAACAATCAATGCATACAATAAACGCGGCGACAATTCGCTGAAGAGCTAACACTCCGTCAGTGAAACAAACTATAAAAAGATGACATAATATTAAGAAAATTATTTGAATTGTAAAATATGTTAAAAATCAATACAAACCTTGACTTAAAGAAATCAAATCTATTAAAAATTCACGGATTATTGTAAAGAATGTGTTGCCGTAATCGACGTCCGGCGGGAACACAAAGAATCGCAAAATCCTATTTAAATTCAATCTCAAAAATCGTTCAATGGTTGCGATTATATCGATTCCGGACTCTAAACCCACGCCTGACTAAGAAATTCAAACCAAAATTAAGTAATTATCACATTTATTAAGCAAAAGATATTGCCATTCATTGCTTACAGTCATCACTTCAACGCCCGTTCGCCACGAACTGATGATCGACGCGATGGCGGTCTCTATGTTCTCGTCCGTCGGTTCCCTTCCCTCAAGAATTTGTGTCAAAACGAATTGCCGAAGAGATTCGCGGACTCTGTTTAATGGCTCGGAATTGCCGGCAAATATGAGGAACAGGTCCTGAAAGCTCAACACTCGGGCCATAACCATAAACACGTCATTCGCGATATTCTCGCCCTCGACGTACGAGAAGCCGTCCAATTGGTTCAGAAAGTTGGCCACATTTATGGCCTGCGTTTGACCGCCGCTAATGATACCCAGTATTCCGTTCACGAATGACATAAACATATCCGTCATATTCGGGTTTTGGTCATTCGGCAAATCGTCGTTCGGCGGCGACCTCTCGTTGTTGAGTCTACTCATTAGGTTAATAAGAGTCGGGTCTACGTTAACATTGTTGACACCAACAGTGGGTGCGTTGGCCGTAGAGTTAGGGTTATGGGCGGCGGCGTCGGGCGGAAGCGGACCACCGCTCGCTTGATTCAAAAAACCGCTTAGAATTCCGTTCACTATTTGTCCCAAATTAGGGAATGGATTGTTTGCCGACTGATTATCGATAGGATTCTCATTGTTATTATTATTGCTATTATTGTTATTATTAGTTTGTCGTGATGTGCGACCAGTGCTGATGCCAACACTCACTTGTGTCCTGATTTCCGGTATAGTAAACGGAGAATTACTGCAAATCAATAGAAATCAATTAAATGATCGCTCAATAGATGTGATAATCAAACAAACCATTGAAGATATGGATCAAAAGGCGGTATAAACAGCGGTCGAGCGCTTGGGGGCGGCGGCGGTGGTGGTGGCGGCGGAGCTGAAGGCGCTGATTGGGTGTTTTGTTGCTGATTTGAAGTGCTGTTTGTTGATTGGGAAGCGGTAGTCGTGGTCGGTGTGGGGAATGGTATTTGATGAACAGTTGATCCCAATTCCATGACAACAAACGGTGTCGAGTGTTGAGTAAATACAGCGCCTGTTGTCTGATCACCAGAAAGTGTTAGACCGACTCTTGGATTGGGTGTTGCGGTCGGCGGCTGTTGTTGAGGGACGGCGAAGGCGGACGGCGGGGTTCCGACCGGCGGTTCTGTCGGCGATTGTGTCGACGGTGTAGTCGACTGATTGGCCGTCGATTGCGTTCCGTTTCGGGTCGTTGTTTGTCGAGTGGCGAAAGAAAGGGGAACCGAACCACCGATTAGTGGCTGCGATGACATCGTGTGTATGAGTCCAACAGTTCTGTTAGGAGTGTTCCAATTGATGGCCAAATCGCTGATCAGATGAAACACGTGTCCCAAATGATGATTAGCTCGCATACAGTTTCGCTGAAGATTCTGGGCTTCGGTCACCTGTCGTTCAGTCAACTGTCCTTCAGTTGTCATCAATTGTTGAAGTCGTTGAATGTGCGGTCGGAGTCTCTCTTGGGTTTGGAAGACAGTTGTCAACAGTTGGTTCACATCGGAGGCAACGACTGGCGTGGCGTTAGCCGATTGACCGTCAGTTCTGTTGCCGTTTGTGGTGTTATTTGTAGCGCCAGTGGTATTGGGCGATGGGTTGGGAGCTCTGGGAGTGTTAGATCCGCTCTGACTCTGAGTTATAGTCGGGCCCTGTATTATGATCTGAGAGCCGGTCACTATCGGTATGCCTAAGCCGTTGGTGACGGCCGCGAATGACTGAGCGGCCGCCTGTGCGGCCAACTGGGCCTCCAATGAACCCATATTATTGGCGTCAATATTAAAGCCGTTCATGACATTGGCGTTGGTGTCCGCGGCGTTCACTACGGCTGCGGTCACGCCATTGGGTATAGCGTTGGGCCTCTCGATCACATCAATCAATGCGTTTATATAACCGATGAACCGATTGGCCTGAGATATACGCTGTCGGCACTCATTCTGTGGCGGCATTTGTGCCAAATTGATCTGAACGTCGACTGAAGAGCCGTCTTCGGAGGTTCGCGACATCACCGTCGCATTGCGTCCGATGTCTCCCATATTAGAGATGACTGTCTGAAGCATTTGCTGGAAATGGTTTGGACTAAACGCCTCTTGAGGTATGGAAAAAGCGCCCAAAAGGTATGAGTTATCGTCGGCGCCGACACGACCGCCGCCGACTCCGCCCATCGGTCGCCGTCTGTGACTGTGTCGGGGACTCGACTGAGCGCTAGTCGGGGCCGAACCCGATCGCGAACCCGTCGACACTCCGGGCGGCGCTCGTCTCACCAAATGGACAACTTTGCCGTCATTTATCTCTTCAGTAGATTAAAAACATATATAAATTAGTAGACAATCACAGCGTTTAAGACAACTATCGGCGCAAAAATACCGTAATCTTTGAGCAGTTTCTCGTCGTCGAGGACTCGACCGCAAAATATCAATCGTTGCAAATCTGCGGGAATACTGACCGCCGAAGCGATCTGTTCTTTAAAGTCCTTCACCGATATCTACGGGTGGATCAGATGTGGGATCAGATTAGTATATATATGGCTAACAAAAGCACATGCGATATGTCTTACATTGTCGTCGACATCGAAGTCATAGTTATTTGAGTCCAAAGTTTTGACTTTAATTTTAATCATTGTTTTTGTTGTCGTGTTTTCGGCACTCAATCAACAAAATTAATTGCAATTAAAAATCACTTTTCAATTGCAATACAATTAAACATTTAATATATAATAAAAAAAAGTGTTGTTTTAATGATAAGGTTTGCCGACAAATACTAAACAAATACTTAAAACCAAATTATAATTCAATGATTTGTTTGTGTTATTGAGTGAACCATAAAAAAAAGTTGTGTTTAAATGTCTGACACAAACCCATAGACAGAGTGCGAGTGAGACTCACTTTATGCCACACAAGTGACAGCACTGGCACTCACTCTACACTCGCTATTGCCATTCGGTATACCATACTTGTAGTACATGTAGAGTACGCTATCACCACAGGTAGGTCTCTGCGGCCAATTTTCATCCTCATCACCATAGCATCACTTCTATGGCACCATTTCCACAATATGACCATGGTCATTTCGGAGAACCTCCCTCCGTAACTCTCGTTACGAAATAAGTTGCAATATAAGCATAACTGTAATATTGGGCACTTGTAGTGTATGAATGTATATTCAACAAAACCCCCGGCTATTTGCCAAATGTCATCGTAATCTCATTGATATAACCTTTTAATTGAATGCATGCGATAGTTGTGTACAACTTATTGTCGTTTACATCACTTGTTGTACTCAACAAATGGGTTACAATCAATATCTATGTCTCTAATCAGTGGTTTTGTAACATAAATTGCAACACAAAACCCGACAGCTTTAGGCATATCCCCAAATGGATACAGATATTGTATTTATACTTATATTCTGTACTTATATTCTGTATATATTATTCATTCTGTATACCACTCGAGTGTGCATTTAATAAATACACTAATTTTAGCACGACTTATTTTTTTGTGTAAGTATTTTATTACTAGGGTTTTTATTTTTTGGGAATTCCCGAATAAAATTAGTTATTAAAAACATCGGGAATTACATGCCATTAGGTCTATGGGTCACAATAGGTTCAAAATATATCAATTTTATTTTTGATATTTGACCATTTTGACATATTTTTGAAAAACTCCCGAAATGTATATTTTTATATTAAAACATCTCGTAAATGAATTTTTTCAAGAAAAAACTAAAAATATGGATTTTAAATCAAGTCTTGATAAATTTGTTAATTGAATTCCAAAACTTGTTATAAAGTTCACATAACCTATGATCAATTGATGATAGAATATGTTAAAAACAGTAAACCAATGAATAATGAATATGAAGTTTATCGACAACGCTTGTTATAGCATTATCACAGTATTTATTGTTAATAAAGTATTATAGCATCTAGAAATGCCATTACCGAATGGAATTCATTCTTAAATGACTTTATAAGTATTATGGTAGAATTTAATAAAAAGGTTGTTCCCGAATTTTCACGATTTTGACCCCTTATACTCCCGAGTTTGGACGTTTTTACTCCCGAAAAATAGAAGCTTTATTTATTACTTAAAATACTTTTAAAAATTTAAAAGTTTACTGCAATCTGAGAGTCGGGATATTGCAAAAAATATTAGTAATTAATCACATTATATATAAAGAATATACATAATGTACATATACAGTATACACAGAATCTGTAGTCTATAATTACTTTTCAATCGATGTTTTTTGCTATGAGTGGCGAAAAACAAATTAATTGTGCATCACTTGGCGTTTGGTTACAATGAAAGCACAGATTGTATGTCTATTTTTGGCCCATAAAATGTAACACTTTTGTCAAATGCTATAGAAATATAAGAAATATTCTGTACAGGAATTTGTCTAATAAAGTGTTTTACAATTTTATAGTGAAACTCACCTGTTAGTGAGCTGTTGTAATATCTTAACAACAATGTAATCAATATATTATATAATACTTGGAGTAGTTTTGTCTCAATAGTTAACACCAAATATCTGGTAAATATATATTTGATGGCAAAGAATGTCAAAGCATTTCAATGGTTTGAAGGCATCTGACCTTTTGGTGAGACATTTCGCACAATACTTGGAGTAGTTTTGTCTCAATAGTTAACACCAAATATCTGGTAAATATATATTTGATGGCAAAGAATGTCAAAGCATTTCAATGGTTTGAAGGCATCTGACCTTTTGGTGAGACATTTCGCACCAGCGCCTGGACTTTGCACACGACAGTCAAACTCTATATACAAATTTTACCATCACTTTTAGTGGCACTTTTGGTGACCAGAATGTGCTATAATTGAGAGAATATTTCTAGAAAATACACTTAAAAACAACTTTCAAAAACTGCTCAATTTATGTCTTTATAATAAATTTTATTTTTATTAATTTTTCGCCGCTTTTGACACCATTTCTAAGTATTGCTCAATAGTTTTTGAGTGATAATAAACTAATGCATCTTCATGCACTTTTTAGTTGAACATTTAATTTTATTGTTTAAGGCCTAAAAATAGTGTTTTTATGGAAACTAAATAATAAAATATAATTTATAAGAAAAATTATTTATAATAAATGGCCAGAAAAATATTAAATTATAACTATTTGTTACTGTTATACTCTAAATGGTGTATAATTAATACAGAATAAGGTTATATTTGTATACTCTGTTTAGAAATCTGTATTACAGTTGGAGTAAAATATTTTATATTACTTTATTTAGGAAAAAGTTTTGAATGAAAAAGAGTTGACAGGATTTGTTTGGTCAAAGAGCACATACAGGGAGACAGACAGACAGTCTTTACTACAGAATCGGTGAAACGAATCGACGGGTTTTGCATTATATTATGATTTGTTAGAAATGGTAGCGAAGAATCGGAGGCTTTCCATCTCTCCATCCGTCCATTCATTCAATCATTCATTCATTTGGATTCACTCTTTCATAGGAGTAGTGGAGGAATGGATGGAAAAGTGAGTGAATGAGAGAATAAAGAAATAGAGATTTGGATTCTTATATTAAAAAGCGATGGAATGGAAAACACGGATAAATCGAAAATATTGTGATCGCAAATAGGAATACAGCAATACTTCGGTTAAATGGTTTACCGCTCTA